AGGAAAACCAGTCTCCTCTTGGTTTATATCGAAATCCTCCGACATTTTTCTTTGAAAATCCTTGGTTTATACTTCTAATTCATGACTGGCGTTTTGTTTTGTTCTCTCTCCGCATTCGTCATTAATCACGCAATGCCGATGTGCTACATCATCCGCCGGAACGCCTTCCGCATATGACAGTCAGAGGAAGTGAGAGAAAAGTGTTTATTAAGTTTGAAATATGGATTATTTCTTACAAAAACGCATGGATTCACTACAGGAGGCCTTTATTCACCCCCCGGAGCCGTGTGAGGCACGTTTTGTTATGAATGCGCCCGCTTTCGCTCTGGGGGGAGGGGGGTGAATAAAGGCCTCCTGTAGTGAATCCATGCGTTTTTGTAAGAGAAATATCCATATTTCAAACGTAATAAACACTTTTCTCTCGCTTCCGTTATCTGTCATACACGGAAGCTGTTCCGTCGGATGACGCAGCACGCGCGCCTCTGAGATATGCTAATCTCGCGAGTTTGTTTACAGGAGCAAAGGAAGCAAAGTTTCCTTACTTTAGCAAAGGAAAACCAGTCTCCTCTTGGTTTATATCGAAATCCTCCGACATTTTTCTTTGAAAATCCTTGGTTTATACTTCTAATTCATGACTGGCGTTTTGTTTTGTTCTCTCTCCGCATTCGTCATTAATCACGCAACGCCGATGTGCTACATCATCCGCCGGAACGCCTTCCGCATATGACAGTCAGAGGAAGTGAGAGAAAAGTGTTTATTACGTTTGAAATATGGATTTTTTTGAAACGCATGGATTCACTACAGGAAGCCTTTATTCACCCCCCGGAGCCGTGTGAGGCACGTTTTGTTATGAATGCGCCCGCTTTATTTGACGACTTGTGGACTGTTCAACTGCAACACCGCCGACTGCAATGATAGAGCTTGGAATAGCCAGGACAATTTTTAATATAACTCCGACTGAATTCGTCTGAAAGAAGGAAGTCATATACCCCTAGGATGCCTCGAGGGTGAGTAAAACACAGGCTAATTTTCATTTTTGGGTGAACTAACCCTTTCACTGATTCGGAGTTTCAAAAAGCTCCGTTTTACCCATCACTATGTGCTGTTTTACATCATTAAAATGGCTCTTTTAATCGGGTAATTGCTAGTGAATCGAGTGTGAGTTTGAATCAATCGGAGTGGTTCCAACGTAAATTACTCACTCAATTGAACCGGTTTGTCTATGGCAAGCCGTTTTAACATTTAATCTATAAACCGCACTAGTATCTAATGTAATGTTACTAGTACTTATTTTTTAGATACTAGTATATTCTCCATTAAGTACTAGTACTTATTCATTAACTACTAGTGCTTATTCTTTAGGTACTAGAGTCTTTTGTAAAGTTACTAGTACTTATTCATTAGATACTAGTACGTTTTCATTAGATACTAGTGCTTATTATTATATACTAGTACTTATTCATTAGATACTAGTACTTATTTATTAGGTACTAGTACTTATTCATTAATTACTAGTACTTATTAGGGCCTTTTGCACCGCTTTACTAGTACTTATTCATTAGATACTAGTACTTATTTATTAGGTACTAGTACTTATTCATTAATTACTAGTACTTATTAGGGCCTTTCGCACCGCTTTAGTTCCAGAACTAAATGGACAGTACTAAAGTACTGGGACGATTTTGCGCGAACTATTTCCCAGTACCATTTAAAGGGTTGCATTCGCACGGACAGTGTACGTAAGCTGGTCGACAGACAGTGAAGTCATTTGTGCGCGGCGTTCAACAACGGAAACAAAGAACAACATTAACAACAGGAGGATGAAGGACGCTGTGATTAGAACGGGAAGGAGGACTAAGAATCTCCAATGACAACTGGCAGTGCTACTTTGATACAAGTGCCTGCACTTCAGCGTCCGTCCATCTATCGCTGTTCTCCATACATGTGAAATAAGTTGACACAATGTTTACAGTATGTTTACACAGCATTTTAAATCATGGCGGGTGAGGGCGTTTTCATACGCTTTTGGCCAATCAATCTCTACTTACGTCACGATTAGTACCAGTTGTGCTGGTTAGACCCTGCTCCGGAGTAGGAGCTAATTTGGTTCTCGAAAAAGGCAGTCCGGTAATAAAAAAGCACCCAGTTCTGGCTGTGCGAAAATGGCAAAAAGTGGGTAGTTCCACAATTAGTTCTGGTACTATGAAAAGGTTCCCGCGGTGCGAAAGGCCCTATTGATAAAATACTAGTACTTATTTATTAGATACTAGTATTTTTTTATTAGATACCAGTATTTATTCATTAGATACTAGTACTTATTCATTATATACTAGTACTTATTTAAATAGTGACTAGTAATTATTATATTGTTACTAGTAACACATTTTTAATTTTTGCTATTCAGTTTTGACTAGTATGTATTCCACTAGTGACTAGTACTTAAGTTTTATGTACCAGTAGTTATTCATTAGTATGTATTTTTTAGATACTAGTACTCATTCATTAGAGACTAGTACCTATTAAATAGACACTTGTACTTATTCATTAGATACTAGTACTTATCCATTACATACTAGTACTTATTTTTTAGATACTAGTACTCATTCATTAGAGACTAGTACCTATTAAATAGACACTTGTACTTATTCATTAGATACTAGTACTTATCCATTACATACTAGTACTTATTTTTTAGATACTAGTACTTATTTATTAGATACTAGTACTTATTCATTAGGTACTAGTGCTTATTTATTAGAAACTAGTACTCATTCATTAGATACTAGTACCTATTAAATACTGTAGATACTAGTACACTTTTATTAGATACTAGTACTTATTCGAAATGTTACTAGTAAGATTTTTTATTTTACTAGTAAATTTTTTAATTGAACTCTACTGTAGCCATTTGGACTAGTCATAACATAAGACAAGTAAAAAACTAGATCTGACTACTAAGATAAGAATTGTTACTAGTAGTAATTACAAAAGATACTAGTGTCTAATAAATAAGTACTAGTACCTAATGAATAACTACCAGTATCTATTAAATAGTTAGTATCTAATGAATTAGTACCAGTATCTAATAAATAAGTACTAGTATCTAATGAATGCTTACTAGTAATATTTAAATAGATACTAGTCACTATTGCAATAATTACTAGTTAGAAATGAAAAGATGATAACAGAATAACTACCGTTACACTTTAATTTAAGGTGTCCTTGTTACAGTGTAATTATACATTTAAGTACCGAGTAATATTTACATGTATTTACTATAAGTTTAGAGTTAGGATTAGGGTTTGGCTTAGGTTTACTTGCATGTAATTATGAATAGTTTATTGTTATTACAATAGTAAGTACATGTGAAATGTGTAATAAGGACACCTTAAAATAAAGTGTTACCAATTAAATTAACTGTTTAAAATACAACATAATATACTGCAAAATGTTTACACATTATGTGACAGAAAATAATATCACTCATTTAAAAGAAACACATAATAAGGATAATTAATTCAATATGATTCTATATTTTGCACCAAGATTTGTTACCCTCATAAAACCTGCATTCAAACGTGTTTTACATAGTTGTCACTCTATCTGTTTTTCAAAGATTCTGGTATATCCACAATGTACAAACCATACAAAAATATGTGTTATGTCATTGTTTAACTCACCTCTGTTTGAAATGAAGCCTGAAGTGATTAAACAGATCTTTTCCATTGCCAGTGTTTGTGATGCTGTGCGAGTTCCTGAAGAACAAAATGTTTTGCATATGAGCTCTTGAAAAGGAATGCGAGTTTTTAGTACTTTTTAATATGAATTATGGTGAAAAGTCTTCTGGATTAATAAAAACATTTACTTGGTGAGTTATGAAGCTCTGAATGGCACAGACCTGATATTGTAATATTTGTACTTGAGACTGGTGCAACAGTGGTCAAAGCAGGATTTGAAGTCGTGTTGGGAAAGACAGCTGTAAAATTCAAAACTGTGACTTTTTTTGTTGACTGAATGCTCCTCTTCCAACCCCTTACATACAGCTACGTACCTACTGAGAGGATGTTTACAGATGCTGGGTTTGTTTTCAGGAGGATGTTGTTGTAGATATAGATGGGTATTAACAGCCCCTGTATCATAGCCACTGTTTCACTCACATCAGCTGCAGGTATCACTCTCACAAACACCACACAATCAAACCTAAGACCACAAACATGACAGATCCTCCTTTAGATGGTTTGATATAAACTTGTGACATATATTTGTGTGTTGTGGGTGTATGAGAATTTTTACCATTGTGTCTTGACTGGTGACTTTACAGTGCCCTTCAAAGAAGCATAATGTTACATTTATATGTAAAAAATATGTTTTAGTGTTTTGTTGTGTTATAATATAAGGATATAAATTATATATGTCCACTTAATCATGAATAATTATGGTATATGTTATACCTGAATTTCCTCCATATTTTGTCCCGCTAAACCAGCTCCTGTTTGAGGGCTAAATTTTGGCACTGCTCTTAGACAATAAAATAACATAACATTGCATGGATACCATATAACATCACATGCTTACATAATGCAAGTTGTACAAATATTTGGATATCGATGTATGTATGTTTGCTCGTTGGTTAGTTAGTTTTAAAAAATGAAATAATTACCTTAAATTTAACAGGAACACAGAATGCACTGATATTTTCTGAGGGAAAACATGCTTCAGCTGAAATTAAAAAATATATCAATTCAGTATATAAATGCTAATGTGTAAGTGAAAATGTTAAATGTTATATATATTATAACATTATATACACACATCTATGGAAATATTATCTTACCCAGATTAAAACAATCTCCTGGATATCATTTTCAGTATGATCATTATTGATATTTTGTGTAATAGCTGTGTTCAGTTGAATTTGATATTTTGATGATTCTGAAATGTGGTGAAGACACAGTTAATTAGAATGCAATGACAATAATGCATTTCATCATATAACACAAGTTATTGTAACATTTATTCTATATTTCCTCTTCTAGAAATAGTCTTGTACTCTTTACAGAGAGCAATTTCTCACCGCAAAGAAAGTTGTCATCCGGAATGGGTGGACACTTCTGATAATCCCAATCTTGCTCTCTCCAAGTCACAATATTCCCATCTACACATCTGCGTGCATCCAGCTGCTTGTTATAATATAAGGATATAAATTATATATGTCCACTTAATCATGAATAATTATGGTATATGTTATACCTGAATTTCCTCCATATTTTGTCCCGCTAAACCAGCTCCTGTTTGAGGGCTAAATTTTGGCACTGCTCTTAGACAATAAAATAACATAACATTGCATGGATACCATATAACATCACATGCTTACATAATGCAAGTTGTACAAATATTTGGATATCGATGTATGTATGTTTGCTCGTTGGTTAGTTAGTTTTAAAAAATGAAATAATTACCTTAAATTTAACAGGAACACAGAATGCACTGATATTTTCTGAGGGAAAACATGCTTCAGCTGAAATTAAAAAATATATCAATTCAGTATATAAATGCTAATGTGTAAGTGAAAATGTTAAATGTTATATATATTGTAACATTATATACACACATCTATGGAAATATTATCTTACCCAGATTAAAACAATCTCCTGGATATCATTTTCAGTATGATCATTATTGATATTTTGTGTAATAGCTGTGTTCAGTTGAATTTGATATTTTGATGATTCTGAAATGTGGTGAAGACACAGTTAATTAGAATGCAATGACAATAATGCATTTCATCATATAACACAAGTTATTGTAACATTCATTCTATATTTCCTCTTCTAGAAATAGTCTTGTACTCTTTACAGAGAGCAATATCTCACCGCAAAGAAAGTTGTCATCCGGAATGGGTGGACACTTCTGATAATCCCAATCTTGCTCTCTCCAAGTCACAATATTCCCATCTACACATCTGCGTGCATCCAGCTGCTGTGGACTCATCTGCACTCCCCACATCCGGAACAAGGACATGTCCCCCAGAAAGTTCTTCCCAGTCTCAAAATCAATAGAACCTCCAACAAAATTATGTGACACTCCCAAACTCAGGGTACCATTTGCGGCAAGGTACCTGGGTGACTTTTCATTCAAGGGAAATTCAAAAACTGCTTTATTAATGATCACCTGGAAAAGCCTATTATGACTCGACCATGTCAGACAAACTGTGTGCCACATGTTTACAGGCATGTCATAAGCAACTGTCCATTCTTCTCCAAAAAGAGAGGCTTTTACATTGCCCATATTTCCAGCTAAGCCAAACTCCATGTGCTGCTGACCTGGACCTTTGTAGTCAAAAGCAGTCCATTCAGAAGTGCCAATCATTCTATTGAGGTTGATGCAGACACTCAGTTCCACTAAAGGTGGGATGATAGCTCTTTTATTCAGCAGCCAAACACAGGATTGGCTAGTAAAGGCAGTCTTCATCCCCCATAGGCTTGCGCCTAAAAGTTAAAGATTATAGATTAGGCATCTATTTTCAGCTAAAAGCAATGTTTTGGTTGAACAAAACCAATTAATGCAACAGATTGCATCAGTCTTTTTAAAACGATCACTAACAAGCAAAATATGACTTGTCATTCTTAGCTCTTGGCGCTATTAACAGACACTTATAAATGTCAAACATAACAGAGTTAAACACAGGCCTTTCCCTTGACTAAAAAAATAATAATCAACAAGTAATATACTTTTTAGCAATAGAAAAACTTTTACTGATATTTTCCAAAGAAATAGAGTAACACGGACATGGAAAAAAGATAATTACAAAATAAATGCAAGAGAGAGTTTAGAGAAAAATCATACCTGCATAATTGAGAGAAGAGCCCAAAATCCATATGTAAACAGTCACAAGCAGGTATTTATTGAAGGTATGCATGATATATCTAAAAATAAATAAATAAAAAGAGAAAGTATTTCTATGGTGTCCAAACTGAAAAGAAAATGCTCAAAAACCTTTCAAATTCAAAGCATTTAAATTAAAACTTTCTGTGTTTAAAGTTAGAAAACACAAACCATCCATAAAGAGAAACATTGATTACATTACCATCTTATGTAATTTAATTAATCATGAATTAAATTACTACTTACTGTGTTATGACATTTCTCTAGAATGAAAAACACAGGTATTAACAAAACAACGTAAATGATGGAAACCCAATTCAAGCTAGAAAATGATATGAGGGTATTGTCCTCTAAATATATCCAGCACAGGACCTTTCCTCAAAGGAGACAAAATCCACGCCCAATCTCTTGTTGATAAGTTATTTATTAATCATAAAGACAGTAATAAACATAGAAGGATCCGTACATGGGTCAATAAGGAACAGTATCCGGAACCAGTTAATCTTATGATGAACCAGTTAGTTTAACCCTTTCATTTAATGAATCTGTTTCTTTTTCACACCACTGAGACCCAGATCGGTAATTCTGATTGAGATGTATGCTTGTTTTTTTTTTATTTGGTTTATGATTATCACTCATGAATGTGGAAGAAGACACACCTCATTTAATGGTTAAAGATTAATGGTGCACGTTGTGTGATGAAATACAGCAGCAAAGGCATGACTCTTGCTAAATAGGAAGAAGATTTCTGATATAGAGTCAATGGTGGGCGGATAATGTATTTGTGTCAGCTTGTTCTGTAAAAGCTTAGTGATAATAAGAGCAGCATGTGATTGAAGCTGGAGGGATTGATCACTAAAGTATGAAAGATCCTCATGCTGTATTTTTGGAAATGCAATAATAATAATAATAATGTCACAAAAGACAGCACATGACAATGAATATGCGGAACTGTTCATGTTTTCCTGACATGAGCAGTACTGCATATATTTGTGTGGCCAGTATGAGCCTACCATCTTAACAGGAAGTTGTTTCAGATCTTAAGCAAACAGTTCAGGTAATGTTCCTCCTCAGGTGTTCAGATTAGATTTGGTTCTTCCAGATAGCTCTCACCAAACAAATTTAATTAGATTTTATAGTGGCAACCCAAAGCTCTCTCTGAGCTTGATTACATCATTCTTATTTGGACATATATTTGCATTTTTTCACTTGGAGACATACTTTGTGATTTTTGTTTTATTATATAGTATATATATATATATATTTGTATTAGTTCACATGGAATGTCATGGCATGACATGGAACAAGTTTTATAATTAATGGCCTGTAATTTCTTTTAAATTATAATGAAATAACTAAAAAAACAACAACAGTGCTTGTAATTTTAGATTTCATGTCATTGTCAGATTTCATTACCAGTGTTTTTAAATATTTAGAGAGACGCGTGGCATAGTTGCTGGTTTTATTTGGACATTCTGTGTTATTGAACATCCTTGTCTTTATTCCAAAATACCACACAAGAGCGTTATATTATTTCATATGAAGTTCTTAGAAGCTAGGATTTGATTTTGACATTGGTGGGGACATAACAGCAGACAATAATTTCATATACATAAACAAAAATCTGACTATTTTATTCAATTATAAATAATTCAACTTTATTCAAAGTTGATCTAGATAAGTGGATATGGAAACTATCCAAAGCTCTGATAATCCTAAACCAGTGAAAATGCATTTCTATATTCATCCTACAGTATGGGTCCTCTTAAGGTGTAAATGTATTACTTTTTTGTTAACCTGGCTAAACATCCCTTATGAAAATTAACCATGGTTTTACTCCAAATTTTTTTTTTAAACAATGTGTTGTGATTTTTGTTTTATTATATAGTATATATATATATATATTTGTATTAGTTCACATGGAATGTCATGGCATGACATGGAACAAGTTTTATAATTAATGGCCTGTAATTTCTTTTAAATTATAATGAAATAACTAAAAAAAACAACAATAGTGCTTGTAATTTTAGATTTCATGTCATTGTCAGATTTCATTACCAGTGTTTTTAAATATTTAGAGAGACGCGTGGCATAGTTGCTGGTTTTATTTGGACATTCTGTGTTATTGAACATCCTTGTCTTTATTCCAAAATACTACACGAGAGCGTTATATTATTTCATATGAAGTTCTTAGAAGCTAGGATTTGATTTTGACATTGGTGGGGACATAACAGCAGACAATAATTTCATATACATAAACAAAAATCTGACTATCAACCTCTCTTTTCTTTATTCAAAGTTGATCTAGATAAGTGGATATGGAAACTATCCAAAGCTCTGATAATCCTAAACCAGTGAAAATGCATTTCTTTATTCATCCTACAGTATGGGTCCTCTTAAGGTGTAAATGTATTACTTTTTTGTTAACCTGGCTAAACATCCCTTATGAAAATTAACCATGGTTTTACTCCAATTTTTTTTTTAAACAATGTGAAAAAAAAGAAAGCACGTCCTGCCAGTTCAGAGTGTGCCACGAAACACTACCACTGTGATAGCGGACCCAAATACCTTAAAGAGCCAATTTACGCTTCCTACATTTACACATGTCAGTTCTCCCCCTTCGGGCGGCGAGCCGTCATCAATAAAAATAGAGCCTCTGGCCGCTCGGCTGCTGGCTTGGAAAGCCAATCCCGGCGTGTCAGACTGGGTTCTAAAAACTATAGAATGAGGCTACTCGCTTCAGCTCGCTCGCAGGCCGCCTGTGTTCAGAGGTGTTGTGCAGACTTCGGTGCAGGACAACAAATCTCATGTTCTTCGAGCCGAAGTGCAAACACTGCTTGCAAACGGTGCCATGGAACGGTCCTCTTAGCGGACAGAGAGTCAGGCTTCTACAGCCGATACTTCCTCGTTCCCAAAAAAGACGGTGGGGTCAGACCGATTCTCAATCTCAGAAGTCTGAATCGGGCATCCCTCATGCAACAGACGTTCAGAATGTTGACTTTGAAGCAGATCCTCACGCAAATTCGCCCCGAGGACTGGTTTCTGTCTGTGGATCTGAAAGACGCTTACTTTCACATCCAAATAACACCCCGTCACAGACCGTTCTTGACATTCGCCTTCGAGGGAGTGGCCTATCAGTATACGGTCCTATAGTTTGGTCTGTCCCTGGCCCCCCGCACTTTTACGAAGTGCATAGATGCGGACAGATGGATCTAAGACAGATGGGAATCCGCATATTGAACTACCTCGACGATTGGCCTGACTAGCCTACTCAAAACGGCAGCTTATCGCTCACAGGTTGTTGTTGCTCAACCACCTAGAATGTCTTGGGCTGAAAATCAACCCAGCCAAGAGTTTTCTGATTCCCAGACAGCGAGTGTCCTTTCTGGGATCAGTTATAGACTCTGTAAAGATGCAAGCTTGAATTACGCTGGAACGCTTCCTGACTATCCAGCAAGTGGTGGCATCTTTCAGGCTGAGGACTGCACGTCCCCTGAGGGCATTTCAGAGGATGCTTGGCCTCATGGCGGCCACCTCTTCGGTTATTCCTCTAAGCCTGCTTCACATGCGGCCCCTTCAGCTCTGGCAAAAATCCCACGTTCTGTCCCACGCCTGGTGCCTGGGCCGCTTTTATGTCAAGGTAACCCATCGCTGCATCAAAACTGTGGCTCCTTGGGCAAATTCTCACCTGTATCAGTCAGGCGTGCAGTTGGGAACGACCTCCAGAAGGAAGGTGATCACAACGGATGCACCGTGGTCAATACCACTGAGGAGAGACCTTCTCTTGCAGGCCCAGGGCAAGATCTGGCATTCCCAGTCTGAACTGTGGGGCTTTCATGTCTGGCCACTCGACGGGAGTCTAGCCAACTCCCAGCGAGAGTCACTAATACCATTTTAGAGGCAAGAGCTCTGTCTACAAGACTCCTCTATGGCCTCAAGTGGTCAGTCTTCAGTGACTGGTGTTCAGCACGGAACCAGGATCCGGTATCATGTGACGTGTCCCATGTGCTAACCTTTTTGCAGGAGCTGCTGGACAAGGGGTGCACCCCTTCCACGCTCAAAGTCTATGTGGCAGTCATCGCGGCGAATCATTCTCTCAAGGCAGGCCGGATCCTCACGCAAATTCGCCCCGAGGACTGGTTTCTGTCTGTGGATCTGAAAGACGCTTACTTTCACATCCAAATAACACCCCGTCACAGACCGTTCTTGACATTCGCCTTCGAGGGAGTGGCCTATCAGTATACGGTCCTATAGTTTGGTCTGTCCCTGGCCCCCCGCACTTTTACGAAGTGCATAGATGCGGACAGATGGATCTAAGACAGATGGGAATCCGCATATTGAACTACCTCGACGATTGGCCTGACTAGCCTACTCAAAACGGCAGCTTATCGCTCACAGGTTGTTGTTGCTCAACCACCTAGAATGTCTTGGGCTGAAAATCAACCCAGCCAAGAGTTTTCTGATTCCCAGACAGCGAGTGTCCTTTCTGGGATCAGTTATAGACTCTGTAAAGATGCAAGCTTGAATTACGCTGGAACGCTTCCTGACTATCCAGCAAGTGGTGGCATCTTTCAGGCTGAGGACTGCACGTCCCCTGAGGGCATTTCAGAGGATGCTTGGCCTCATGGCGGCCACCTCTTCGGTTATTCCTCTAAGCCTGCTTCACATGCGGCCCCTTCAGCTCTGGCAAAAATCCCACGTTCTGTCCCACGCCTGGTGCCTGGGCCGCTTTTATGTCAAGGTAACCCATCGCTGCATCAAAACTGTGGCTCCTTGGGCAAATTCTCACCTGTATCAGTCAGGCGTGCAGTTGGGAACGACCTCCAGAAGGAAGGTGATCACAACGGATGCACCGTGGTCAATACCACTGAGGAGAGACCTTCTCTTGCAGGCCCAGGGCAAGATCTGGCATTCCCAGTCTGAACTGTGGGGCTTTCATGTCTGGCCACTCGACGGGAGTCTAGCCAACTCCCAGCGAGAGTCACTAATACCATTTTAGAGGCAAGAGCTCTGTCTACAAGACTCCTCTATGGCCTCAAGTGGTCAGTCTTCAGTGACTGGTGTTCAGCACGGAACCAGGATCCGGTATCATGTGACGTGTCCCATGTGCTAACCTTTTTGCAGGAGCTGCTGGATAAGGGGTGCACCCCTTCCACGCTCAAAGTCTATGTGGCAGTCATCGCGGCGAATCATTCTCTCAAGGCAGGCCGGACAATTGGCAGGAACGACTTGGTCGTTAAGTTTCTTAGAGGCGCCCGGCAGTTAAACCCTCCTCACCCTAGGACGGTGCCAGTATGGGACTTGTCTATAGTCCTAAGAGCTCTCAAGAGCTCCCCCTTTGAGCCGCTTCAAACATGACTTAAGGAACATGACACTCAAAACCGCTCTGCTTTTGGCCCTGGCGTCAGTCAAGTGAGTAGGGGACTTGCAAGCCCTGTCTGTCAGTGCTTCCTGTCTTGAGTTTGGACTCAACGACTGTAAAGTCGTTCTCCAACCGCGCAGCAGTTATATACCGAAGGTGCTCTCAACTCCGTTTATGATCTTCACTTAATATCCTAATGATTTTTGGCATAAAAGAAAAATCTATAATTTTGACCCATACAATGTATTGTTGGCTATTGCTTCAAATATGCTTGTGCTACTTATGACTGGTTTTGTGGTCCAGGGTCACATATAAGGTAAAGACAATAGATAATATTTTTAAAATGTGCTTTGACTTTAGTACAATGACAATATAAAATCAATTTAATTGATTTTGGAAATAGCATGTTGTCTTCTTATTAAAATCACAATTAACATTTTTCTCACACATTATAGAAGGACTTTAACATGAAAATATATAACTGTCTTTATATTTTATGAATGCAATCAATATTATGGTTAAAAAAAGAAAAGAAAATCAAATACATTTTAGTTAAGAAAATTCAACCACCACAACAACATAACTATACATAAAGTTAAGAGGGCAAAATCATTGACTGCTCTTAGTTTCTTTCTTATATTTCCAAAGATTTACATTGTGTGTTTTTCATAAATAGAGGGAGTGTTGCCAAAACAGTTTTCAAGAAAGGGATTAATCAGCCTCTGGTTTTACATGTCTCTGTACTTGAGATCATTTTAACACAAGGGGAAAGGCCTTCAGCCTCCACCTCACCATTTCCTCTATAAATTTCCCATTCAGGGTATTTCTACAAGAAGCTTGAAAGTATTTACCACAAGACTGTGAACACTTATAGAAAGGCTGTCAAGGCTGTGACAGATATCAGTTTATATATAGTTTATATTTAGATATCATCAGTGTTCAATTAAAATACATTATGTACTGCTTATTTTTCAATGACAATAGTGGTCAAAGCACTGTCATTGTGAAAATAAATATTAATACAAATAAATACTTCCTTTTGCAGAATGCTGAAAGCTGCAACAGTTACAACTTTAGTTCAGGCCACACAAGTTTGTGAAACCAGTTTTGTTTTGCCCTGCACTGGTCAATGAATTAGTCATAGCAGATATTGTTATAGATTGTGGCTCTGTTGTATTTGCGGGATGTATGGGATAAAGCTTCATATGCTCTGTATATCTGAAGCCCTGACATTCCCTCACAGGCACATCCGTTACTGGCTTACAGTAAGTGTTAAATAACACAAGTGCTGGTGCATTATTTAATATGTGTAACTGATACAAGGCTCAGCTTGCTATAAAAGATGAATGAGGGGCCTGCAAACTATGGCTAAAATGAAAGGAAGCAGTCTGAGATGCCTGAAAAGCAGTACTGCCAAAGGGAATATGGTGTTTTCTTAAAGGGAGGGGTTGACCACAGCTTTGCTGATCCTGTCAGTTTCTCATTCAACATATTGTCAAAGCTCCAGTGGTAAATGGAAAATATGCTAAGCCATATGCCATGCTAAGCCTGTGCACCAAGTCCCTAGCTTGTTTATTTATTTATTTTTTATTAAAATCATAGCTAAAAAATAATAATAATAATATTAATAATAACAATAAAAGTACTATTTCCAAATATATGATTATGTAACTCTGCTTATATGCAAATTATCTCAATTGTAATAATAGTCCTTGAACTGTTTACACTTCACATAATAGGCCTGTGGGTGGGGCTTCATTTAACCAACGAGTTTCATTTAACAGTAAACACTATATCAATATGCAGACGTAAATAAGAGTAAATTAAACACTACTTAGAATGAATGCCACTTCTTCTACTTTTGCTATTTTAGGCAGGTTAAAAAAAACAGAAAACAGTTTTGAAGATACTGCAATTCACATTGTCCATTGAAATTTGAGCTTGTTTAAGATGCGCACAATCTATAGCAATACAATGGCAAAGACGTCTCAAACTGAAAGATGTAAGTAAAAATAAACAGGACATTTCCAAAGTTTTGAGCCATTAGCTACTGTTTTGTACACACAATATTGACCACAATATATTGTTGATAACTGTTGAGAGAAGGGCATTTTTGGTTCATTTTGGAAAAAGGCGAGGGGCCTCCATATGTACATACATACATAAAGGATAGGCTAATGACTGCAGTGGAGAGTTTATAATAAGGATTTTCACACTGTTTGCTAAGGACTCAAATATTATATGCATTCATATAATATTTAATCACAGTTATATATTTTCATGTTTAAATCCTTAATGTGTGAGAAAAATTTTTGTACACACAATATTGACCACAATATATTGTTGATAACTGTTGAGAGAAGGGCATTTTTGGTTCATTTTGGAAAAAGGCGAGGGGCCTCCATATGTACATACATACATAAAGGATAGGCTAATGACTGCAGTGGAGAGTTTATAATAAGGATTTCCACACTGTTTGCTAAGGACTCAAATATTATATGCATTCATATAATATTTAATCACAGTTATATATTTTCATGTTTAAATCCTTAATGTGTGAGAAAAATGTTAATTGTGATTTTAATAAGAAGACAACATGCTATTTCCAAAATCAATTAAATGGATTTTATATTGTCATTGTACTAAAGTCAAAGCAAATTTTTTAAATATCATCTATTATCGTTACCTTATATGTGACCCTGGACCACAAAACCAGTCATAAGTAGCACAGGTATATTTGAAGCAATAGCCAACAATACATTGTATGGGTCAAAATGATCTATTTTTCTTTTATGCCAAAAATCATTAGGATATTAAGTAAAGATCATGTTCCATAAAGATATTTAGTAAATTTCCTGCCGTGAATATATCAAAATTTAATTTAATATTAGCAATATGCACTGCTAAGAATTTCATTTGGACAGCTTTAAAGGCGATTTTCTCAATATTTTGATTTTTTTGCACCCTAAGAGTTCAGATTTTCTACTATCTGTTGGCTATCTCAGTCAAATATTGTCCTATCCTAACAAACCATACGTCAATAAAAAGCTTATTTATTCAGCTTTCAGATGATGTATAAATCTCAATTTCAAAAAATGGACCCTTATGACTGGTTTTGTGGTCCAGGGTCACATTACATCTTTTTCACTTTTTCTCAAATTTTCCACGGACCCCATAGCACCCTCTTGCGGTCACGGACACCAGTTTGAAAAGCACCGAGCACTCTTGCAGTGCGTGCGGTCAAACGCTAGATGCCGCTGTCTGCAGTCGGCGTCCCCGCGCGCCTCTAATGTGTCAGCGCCAAACAGCAGGGACAAAAACTTCGGCAAAAATGGCGGAGGGTGCAACGTCTCTGAAAGGGTTGCGGGCGCAAATGGGTAAGAATTCACGCATTTACAACCTGTTTTGACAAGTTCTCGTTGCGTAAACCAGTCATATGACAAATATTTAGTACTGTGGCTTTGTTTGGAGGTTGTTTGGACGACTGAGGGCTTAAATCCGTTACTTTCATTGAGGCGGTTTGAGGGGAGAGTTAGCGGGCTTAGATGGACGGATACCGGCCAGCTAACTGCTAAACTTACTGCAGCACCAGACATGTGTGTGGTTGTTCACTTTTATGTTCTTGTACAGTTTAATGTTTAGATGAGATGAATTTACGAAGGCTCAAGGCTATTTAGTGTTGTATTCGCTGGGTCTGTAACGTTAGGAAGGTTTGATAAGTGATGTCTGGTTTGACAGGGACATATCATCTCATGGCGCTCTTATCTGTACAGAGCCTATATCCTTGCGTTCATTGTTTTAAACTTATTGTTTCCCTCTCATACTGAATATTCACTTAATATAATGCCTTTAAATATGTATAAACCCTTTGCAGTCTCATAAGTTGGCTTCTACATACACTTCCTATCTACAGTACGTTACATGGCAAAAAGAGACACTGAAATTGATGTCGAAATAGTTCACTTTAACATCAAGTTAAATTATAGAACCAGTCGGAGAACTTCATGTTTGATGGAGGTGAGTATTGATTTGAGCTATATAAGTGAAGCCGTCAACGTGTATAGTTAAGCTGCAACAATAAACTAACGTTACACACAGGCATCACTAAAGTAGTGTTTACTGATCTGTGGATGTTTAGCAGCATTTTTCCCTTTATGTCTTATGTTGAGTGTGTGAGGTGAGCTTCTTTCTTGCTGTCTTGTTGGCCATCTTGGTCAGTAATAGCTAAATAGGATGTCTACACATATGACTCTCATTACAGTTGGAGATGGACCCAAAACTTGACCCAAAACCCAAAAATATGAATTGCCATTTTCTCACTATTAGCATCATTGCAGTTACTGTGTGCAGCAAGCCATCAAACTCTGTTTACTAGTTCCTCCCTCTAAGGAAAACATGCATGGGTTGCTTGCTTTGCATCCTCTTCTGCCTTGCTAATGAGGAATGAGTTGCACTTTTGATGCATTGTGTTTAGCCTATGCCACTAATAAACTTGATCCTTTAGCTTTCACTGTAGCCTGTGGTTAGTCTCACGGAGTGGTAAAAGTTCTTGTGTAAGAAACATAACAGCCCTGAAAGACTTCTGCTTTTTGTATGTCATTTTAGCTACTTAAGATTCGTCGTTGTAGAGCTTGAATTCAATTCATTAAATTGCTAAAAAAACGGGTCACAGTGTGGTTAGAAACCTCAAAGTTGGTTCACATCAAGATCTGCATCCTGCCGGTGTTAACACTGGCCTGACTGCAAACATAATATAGGGTGGAGTCCAGTGGTCAGAAACTGCACATATTTTATGTCTGCAAGAATGAATGCTCAAATACCATTACTTTTGAGGTCTATTCAGTTTTTTGGTAAGGAATTCATTCCTTTGCGTTTTTAAAGCTATTATCGAAGAGCATGAAAAATAACATGGCAAGTTAGAGTCATGTGATTTTGAGCTGTTGTTACCGTAATCCACCAGGTTGGTTGTAAGTCAATATTAAATGGGTAGCACCTTTGTTTATCAGGCGTATTCATCATTCTTGGCTGTCAGAATTGTCTCCTTGTTAAATAGTCAGTGCCTCTCCTTACTGAGTGGTTATTTTTTAAAGGCAATATCTCTTAAAAACACCAGTGTATGGAACAAACTTATGAAGCAAAATGGCTTATATTTGTATTTCAGTCCTACAGGTGATGAACATTGACCTGCAGAGCCAGATATGCAACCCAGGATCATTGGATAAAACCGTTACATTTCTCCGATTTATGATCATTATATTTACGATCATTCTTGGACATTTCACAACACTTTCAAAGTGAAATGTCTAGTGAGTGGTGATGCATTCAGTTTAACCCATAATAGATTAATGTGAATTTGGTGGCGTTTTATATGGTTGGTTATTGTTTGCATTGCAGCAGTTCGGAAATGAGATGTCCAATATGTGGTGCTAAAAACTTTAATGCAACCTTAAAAAAAGTGTTAAAAACGTTATGCATTTGCTGAAGCAACCGTGCCATTTTAGCTTGTTCTACAAGTCATTGAGCCCTTTTATCATGACTTGTGATTCCCAGGACTCGTACCCAAGCACTCTGCATCGCAAGTGCTGTGATGTACCAGGTGAGCTACCTAGGTTGCAAGTAGTAGATAGTGGATATGCAGACTTCCTTAAAGGTCAAGTGCTGATGATAACACTATCATTAGCCTCCAGGAAGCAAGCATACTTTGGTTTCTACATGTCATAATCATCTTGAAATAGCCCAAGCTTACATAGTCCAGGTGTCCCCACTAATCCTAAACAAGAACTGCAGTGTGGATAGGGTTGTCAACCAGTTAGTCAATATGAGGGTGACTAGTTCTTTTAAAAGTTTTGATATTTTTAGCAGCAGTGCTTTTGCTTTAATTAATGTGCAATAATATAGCTCTGATACAGTTTGCTTGAAAAAACCCATTTAGAAAAGTTGCGTCTTTTTAAATTCATAATGTTTAAGCACCACTGCTACAGCCACGTGTTCACATGGATCTCGTTAGATATTTAAGTTGCTTGCACTGTTTTTCAAGCATCCCATTACAAGGCTTGTGTTTTGATGATGGTTTCAAATTGGTGTCAAAAAAGACCCTTGCATTTTGTACTTATAAATGTTCGATAAAGGTCAGTCAAACCCTGAACCAAACTGTTGTATATGACTTCCTTAAGACCAATTAGTTGTCCATGCAAATCACAAACTAGTTGATTTGAAAAAATATGTATTTTTGCTATTATGTGTTAGTATGTGAGTGTATGTAAAACCACAGCTGTGCGTTCTGTTGAGGCCTGAATAATTGGAAAATGCAGGCACGTTCCTCCCCAGGCATCTGCCCTAGAGACTTCCTGTTGTCCCAATAACGGGCTGCTACTGCAGGAGAAAGAGAGTGAGGCAAATAGTGAGCGGTAACAGGACCCCACTGACCCACTGAGTGCTGACTCTCCCTGACTGCTGGCTCTCCTTGGATGTGCATGGCAGGACATAGAGAGCGTAGTGTTGCTATTTGTATAACCGTTCTTTGTGTTCTGTCAGACTGAGTGAATGAGGGTTTGTTGAACAGCCCAACATCTGACAGTTTGAACTGGGCAGCTGTTGTCAGAAGAGATGATGCAACCCTCGTCTGTTTTTAGTGTGTGTTTTTGTTCAATATACAATTTAAAGCTCAATGATCAGCAGTCACAGTTATTTAAATATTGGGAACAATGCAGATTGGCTTTTGATTTTGTTTTTGGCCATGACATAAGGCAATAGTGAAGGATCTGATAGCGATGATATGATAACTGTGTTTTGACAACCAGTAATCTGGAGTATTTTAATCACATCAAAGCAATGTGACACAATGCATTGTTTCCTTCTGGTACAGATTAAAGTAAAAGAAAAATGTGCTGGAAATTCACTCTCATGCCATCCAGGATATAGATGAGTTTGTTTCTTCATCAGAACAGATTTAAAGAAATTTAGCATTGCATCACTCACAAATGGCAGTGAATGGGTGCCATCAGTATGAGAGTCCAAACAGCTGACAGGGCTCCAGACTGCGACCATTTTTCTGCCTGTGCGACTAAATTTTGTGAGTGGTCGCACTGGCGCGACCACCGCGTTGTTTAACTCATAATCGCTGCCATTTCTGTTGCATATGTGAAACATCAAATGGCAAACAAAACCGAAAGCATAACGAAACCGCGCTACTCTGAACTGCGCAGCGCTTCGAGTGTAGAGCATGGTTTATGCTCGCCGCATCAGCGCAAAGGTGCACGCAGCAAAAATTACGTGAATATTGAGGAAACGATGGATGGTTTTCATGCTAAAGTAAAAGACCGCTTCTTAAACCAAAGGTGAACATTTTGGTATTCTTGTGGGGAAAAAAACATGCAAGCACTGTCACCGACAGCAAGCTTAGTTTTACTTTTATTTTCATTTGCATTATCTGTGATGTTTACCTCACGTTATGCTATGGAGGCTCTTTATTTATTTTTTATTTGATTCCTCAGTGTTTGCTAAACGTTCTGTAATTTATTAGTCTGCATATAATACAGCATGTGGTATATGCCATGCCTCATCTTATTCATTTTTGTTAATAAACATTTTGTAAGCTTGTTTGTCATAGTATCTTACAGTTTTATTGTTGTTGTGCTTTTGAATTAAGAATTACAATGAATCCATCTTTTGTTTTAGTCTTAAAAAGTAAAAGGTATAGATGTAAGCAAAACAGATCATTATCTTTTCTTGTAAAACGTGAAAAGATCGCAAATTCATAAGCGAAAGCATACGAAGCCCGTGGCTTATAACATAGCAAAAGAGGAACTCCCGTTCAAAAAATTCAAATCACATATAATACTACTAATGAAAAAGAACAGGTTGAATGTTAACATCTTTCGTTTCCGTATAACTATAAACTATGATAAAAGTTCATCAGCATGCATTGATTAATCCCATGAAAACAATTGCGACCAAATCATGTGCTCATGCGACCAACTGAGAAAGTTAGTCGCAAAATAGCGACCAGTGGGAAGAATGAGTCTGGAGCCCTGGCTGATAAAAACTACAATAAACCACATGACTCAAATCCATCATTAAGGGGTTTTAACTTTAAACTGTTGCTTCCAGGCCAAAATATTAATCCATAATAATACTTCCCCAAGTAAAATGTCTATCCCCTGTTTTCCTCTCGCATCAAAATCCACCGACATATTTGTTCGGAACGGTTTCAGTTGTAAACCATGCTTAATCTGTGAATATTTCTCTCCTGATTCAGATGAGATTACGTTTTCACATGAGAATATATTATGGATAGAGGACTCGTATTTTAGCCAGAAGCAACGGATTAAAGTTAAATTTAATAATGGAACTGTTAATTACAAGTACACAGCTTTTC